AAGTCTAATGTAAGCAAATATTCAATAAATTCAGAAAAGTCTAAGGAGGATAAATGTAAAGAGATCTATATTCAAATACATCATAGTCATAATGTAAGACAAAAACAAAATCTTTAACTCAGCAAGAGAAAAATAACTCACATAAGGAAATCTCATTCAGTTTATAGCTTACTTCCTACTAAAAACATTAAAGGTCAAAAATCAGTGGATGTACATATTCGTGTTGAAGGGAAATGTGCTAACCAATAATGTTATATCCAATAAAGTTATCTTTCAAAAAGGAGATAAATTCAAAATACCAATAGATAAGCAAAAACAGTAATTGTGAGCAAAATTTCCCTATAAGAATACTAGAAGGGATTCTTCAGGCTGAAAGCAATTGTAAGCCCAGTCAGTAAGTCAAATATACAAACATAAAACACACACACAGCACTAGTATAATGTAGGTAATTATGAAAACATAATTTTATTTATTTCTTCATTACTAATTTATAAGGCAATTGTACTAATAAAATTGTATTGTTGAAACTTTAACATGTATAGTCATGTTTCCTTCAACAATGGGGATAAGTTCTGAGAAATGGGTCATTAGGTGATCTCATTGTTGTATCAATATCATAGAGTTTGATTACACAAACCTAGATCTCTAGACTATATAGCGGGCTGTTGAGACCACTACCATATGTGTGAGCTATTGTTGATGTAAATGTCGTTAAGCAATGCATGAACTATAGGTGTGTAATGTATGTGACGTTAACTTACAAAGATGAAGGTGGGAACAAAGCTGTTTGGAGAAAGTAATGACATTAGATACTAACATGAATATTCAAGAAAAAATGAAGAGAATCAAATGAGCAAATTAAAAAATGTGCAAATTAAAACTATAAATAAGTGTGCTCTCTGACTTATCTCAGATTCTTAAATATATATAAATATATATATATGAGGGGCCCTCCCTGGTGGTGCAATAGATTAAAGCACAGCCCTATGAAGCTATCGCAGCCATTGCAGTTCCAGTTGGATCCCCTAGCAAGGGAGGGGATCCATAGAGTGGCAGACCTCTCCGGCTCACCTGCTGCTCCCCTCAGCAGTGTATTTCAGTCAATCTGCCTGTTCTGCTTTCTGCTCTGTCTCTGAAAGGAGAAATATTCAGGTAACAAAGTTAGTCAAAACAAAAATAAATCCTTGGATTCTGACTACAGAATTTCTCCCCAGATAGGTAGAAGGTACAAAGGGAACAAAAGTGAATGGGATACAATGTGTTGCAGTGGGAGGTTATTTTTCACTTTGGTAGTAGAAATGGTGTTATAACATCCATTTGAAGAGATGTGAACCAGCACACCTAAAACATATATGGTGTTGTAAACCAATGCTATCTCAACAACAAAAAAATATAACTGGAGAGAGCAATACCCTACTTTCAATACTGGATAGATCAATGGGTAGTATGTGCTGTGGCTTGAACACAGAACACTGCAAAATGTGTCTCAACAAAATTCATATATTGAATCTGAACCCACAAAGGTGACTATGTCATGAGGGTGGAACTCTCATGATTGTGTCTTTATAATAAAGGTTCCAGAAAGAACATTTGTCCTTTCTACCATGTGAAGACACAGTGAGAAAATGTAGCTATGAACCAGAAAGAGGACCTTACCAGAATGAGACTGTGCTGGTCTTGGATTTTCTGCTTCCACAGATGTGAGAAATAAATTTCTGTTGTTTATGAGTCACCCACTTTATGGTATTTTGTTATAGCAGTGCTAAACAAACTAAGATAGTTAGTCAACAAAGATACTATACTTGAACAAAATTACAACCTAAGTAGGCCTAAAAGATATCTAAAGAACACTTTGGCTAAAAAGAGCAGAAAACACATTCTTCTCAAGTGTACATAGAACATTTTTTCCAAATAGTCCACATGCTATACCATAAAGCAAACTTCAATGTTAAAAGAATTGAAATTAGGCCCTCCCTGGTGGCGCAGCGGGTTAAAGCGCAGCACTGAGAATCTGAAGCCACTTCCGCATGAGTTCGATTCCCACCTGCAGCCTGCCCCGGAGGAGACCACATGGCGAGCCAGACCTCTCCTGGCCCGCCCGCTGCTTCCCTCAGCAGTGTACTTCGTTGATCTGCCTGTTCTGCTCCCCACTCTGTCTCTGGTGAATCCTCTC